TTCTCTGTCTCTTCTACCTCCTCCTTTTCTATGATTTCTTCCTCATCTTCCACTTCTGCCTCCTCATTTTCCTCCTCCCCCTCACCATCTTTCTCACTCTCTTCTACCTCCTCCTTTTCTACGAATTCTTCCTCGTCGTCCTCCTGTTGATCCCCCTGACTTTTGTCCATCTCCTCCTCTTCCTCTTTAGTCTCCTCCGCCTCCTCTCCATGATCTTCTTCTTTTTCCATTTCATCCATCTGCTCTGCTCCATCCTCTTCTAATTGCTCCTCTCCATTTTCCTGTTCCGTGTTTTCCTGCGCTTCCGTCTCTTCTCTGGCCTCCTCCTCTTCCTCTTCCTCCTCCTCCTCCTCCTCCTCCTCGTCTCCATCCGGGACTCCATTCTGTTTACTGTTGTGATTCTCCTCGTCTTCTTCCTTCTCAGCTTCTGCGTGGTTCTGTCCCTCACCATTGGGCTCCTCCTCGTCCTCCTGCGTGCTGTCTACGTTGCAGATTGCTCCCCCCTCGCCGTTGCTGTTCCTCAGGTGCACGTGGTTGTGGTTGTTGTGCTCCACGTCCTCCAGGGTGATTTCGAACTGGAAGCGGTCTTGTTGAAGGTGTCTGTCTGGGGGAGGCGAAGGAGACTGGGGCATGGTGTTCAGGTACCACTCCCTGTTCTCCTCCAGCGTGTCAAGGAGTTCCTGGGCGTCTGGGTGCACCAGGTCGGCCCACGTCTCCCACAGCGGATGGACGATGTAGTCGATGAAACCCACCTGGACAAACAAGGAGAATCACGCAGAGTTAATACCTTGGATGTCTCTGAGGCTTGAGGTGGTGATGGAGGAATCATTTAGAGTAAAGTCTGACTTCAGGGAATTTCTTCAAACCAGATGTAAATTCTTCTGGAGTGACGGAAACTGCACAGGTTTCCTGTTCATCTATTCAGATTAAACGTATTAACAAAGATTGAAGGAGGTTGAGATCCATCGTTACCTGACTCTTCTCCACAGACGCCGTGTGTTTGTCACACATGGCGCTGATCTCCATCCCTCTCTCTCGCTCTTTGTCCCCCTGTCGAAAAAACTCCTCCATGATTCTCTCCGTCCACTGTCGGTACAGCGGTAGCGCCTTGGTGGGGTTGCTCAGGTCAGCACAGTGCACCATGTTCCTCAACACCTATCACAAGAATATTGAGGAGCTGATGTTACAATGAACGCTGTCGACGTGCGTCCAGATTTCTGTTTGATGTGAGACGAGCAGGACAGTCTACCTGTATTCGTTCTGTGTAGTGGTCGAGCAGCAGAACTCCAGAACTCGTCACCTTCTTCGTCTCCACCATGGTCTTCAGATCAGCCAGCAGGGTCATGTGTTTGGACATGTCTGTGGCCAACACCTGCAGAAAGAGATAAAACTCACCAGAATGAATTTCATCAAGATCCATGAAATATTTCCTGCAGGGAAATCTGTGAAAATGTAAAAAAAAAAAGAAAAAAAGAAGAAGTAGGAACAACATGCGATGGGGATTCAGAAAGTTTAAGAAAAAGTGGTAAAAGTTATTCAGTGACATTTTGGAAGCAATGAGAAGAAGCCGCAGAGTAACTGGAACTAAGGATAATTAGAGTCTGTGTGTTTGGTAAACATCCTCCTCACCATGTCGATGACGAGCTTGCGAAGGCTCTGGCGCTGTCTCTTGGTGAGGTTTTGGAAAATGTCACAGTTTTCCTGGTGCAGAAGCTTGAAGCCGACAGCGAGATGATGGTTCTCCAGCACTGACTCATCGTTGTACATGAGGGCCAGTTCAGAGTCTGAGCAGAGACAGAGAGAGACAGAGAGAGAGAGAACACGATGGAGGCGTGAAAACGGTTTGTGCAAACATCCAGACACGTCTCACCGGTTGTGTTTGTGCTCACTGGTGTTGATGAGGAACTGATTGGAGACTCCAGGGTGGTCGACGTCATGGATAGCTGCAGCGAACAGAGCGGCGAGGACCTCCAGGTCAGTGAAGACGGCCTGAACGGGACAGGGACGAGGGAACAGAGGTGCACAAAGTCCGAACAACAGAGACGAGGTCAGAGAGAAGAAAAGAGAAACGACGCGATTGAGCTTCAAACGCACAACACTGTTACTTTTATCAGAATCCAGAACTCTCACGTCAGCTCTTTACCATCAGCTGTAAAGATAAAACTGCCCCAAAAATTATATTTAAAAAAGTAAATCTGGGGATTTATCCATATTTATTTAATACAGTATTTAAAGTACAATATAATGAAGTGTGTGTGTGTGTGTGTGTGCATTTGTGTGTGTGTGTGTATACTGTCTACATACATCAAGAGCAGGTGTGGACAGCAGGACATGTGTGGACTGGGTGACATCCGCAGCATGGAGGCTGTTGTGGTACGCTACGTTTCCATGGTAATGGTCCTCCAGGGTCATCACGTAGGTGACAAAGGTGTCGACTGGGATTCGAAACGTCTTCAACAGCTCGCGCTCCTGAGGAGGAGGAGGGAGGAGACCAGAGGAGTTCACTAACACTCCACCAGGAGTACATCATGTACAACAGCAGCACACACACACACAAACACACACTCTGGTTGTGTTTACCTGGAAGATTGTGTACATGATGCAGCCGAGGGGTCTGTTGCTGGAGAATTCTGCGACTCTGAATATGTTGAAGCTCCACTTGTCCAGATCCTCCAACTCCTGATTGAAGAGCACAGACATGGACACGTGTGAAGAAATCAGAACACAGATTCATTAAGAGCTTCATTAAAAAAGATTCATTAAAAGTCTTCTAAACAACAGTGCAGATTAAATCTGACTCCACTGAGAAATGTCTGAATCCCGTATGATCAAGCTGAAATAAACAACAACCAATGAAACGTGTCCAAAAGTTGAACCAGCCAATCAGAAGTAAAATGATTTCAAATAAAAAGTCACAGTTCAAACTTCTCAAATAAGAATATTTTCTTTGATGCGTGTAAATTTAACAGCTTCAGGTTTCGTGGTCGTAGGATCAATGAACGTAAGTGAGTCACGTTGGCCTTCAACAAATTGTTCCATGATTTCCTTTTACAGTTGAGTGAGAAACTAAAAGTCATATTATTCCATTATGAAAACGATCGTGAGTCGCAGCCCTGAATAAGTACAAACATTGGAAGCAGTGAAGGTAAAATCATTTTACAGTTTTAGGTTTTATCGTCAAGAATGTTAGAATTAAAGAGAATCCCGTTAAAAGCTTCTTTCATTCATGTGCTGGTGTCTTTTTAAACAATGATCGCACGGCAGACGTCACTTTCACGTCACGATAAATAACCTCGATCGTTCCATCGAAGCAGCGGGTTGTCCACAGATATCTGCAGCCTCTCCCACTTCTAGAAAACCACAAACAGTAAATAATTTATATTCACATCGAGAATAGTCTCTGATTCTGAGTCATGTGCCGCTACATGAAAGAATGAGGCAGAAAGCTGCAGGATGAATAGAAGTGAGCGTTTCCTTCTGTGCGTGATGCAGACGGGAACCTGACAAATGTCTCAGCCAACGTTTTTTGTTTTTTGTGCAGGGAATGAAGTGTTTGAATAAAACTATTTACTGGGAGAAGAATCCCATCATTCAATGTTCAAAGAGCTGCGATTGTGTAACTCTTCTACGTGCGTCACAGAAAAACCCGACAGACGACCAGACCTTGGCGAGCTCATCCTCGTGGTCTGTGTTGACACCGAAGCGAGGCATTGAGGAGCTGGAGAGGCTGGAGCTGTGAGACAGTTTCCTCACGCCGCTAATGTGACTCATAGGTTTGTCCTTCAGGGTGGGAGACGGGATTTCCTCCTCGTTCTGCTTGTCTGCAGATTGATGGACAAACAGCAACAAACACACACAGACAGAGAGAGAGAGAGAGAGAGAGGGAAGGATTTATTGCTTTTGTTTGAGAAAGTCGTAAATGCTGTTGTGCACGGGGATCAGATCCTGGTCCCACTCACCCAGGAAGGTGCTGGAGATGTATTCAGACACCTGGTTACCAGAGCGACTCATCTCTGACAGATGGGACAGCTCTCTGTTCAGCATCCTCTTAAACTGTCAACGAC